TCAGCAACGTTCGCTTGGCCAGAGCGAGTCTCCGCTCGGATCGCAAGTCCCCACCGCATCATGAACCCTTTCATCCACGATGGACTTGCCTTGAACTGGTCACTGCTAAGCCTTGTTCCAACGCCACATCCATTGCCTTGCACGCGAGGAGTGTCTTCGATACAGGTATGCCATCTTCATGAAGTTCAGATACCCATTGAGCAATGTTTTTCTCTGCAACACGGGTGAGCGTTGTAGATATGCCTTGCTTGCGTAGTGTACGCATGTCCCGCGTTCGAGCCTTGGAACAAGCCATAGTGATGTGGTCCCGTTGTGATTCCCATTGCAGGATCTGCTTTCAGACTGTTGTGCGCTTGTCTCCCGCAACACCAGGGAAGAACGTGTCGATGACGGACTCCATGGAATGTTCTTTGCGCCAGTTGATTATATGAAGCTTTTTCTCGTAGGTATGGTAGAGGTTTTTGTGCTTCTTGGGCATTCGCTTGATTTGCTTGGTATTAGGACGCCCAGTGCGTCGGCCATCGAGCTCAGTTGGCGCCATTATTGTTGCAACTTGCCGCCTTTCTGCAAATCAATGCAAAATTTATAAAGTTTCATGGGTATTGTTTACGAACGAGGTATTGCAGAAAATAATATATTGACTGAATAAGTATTTACAGGTTTTTTCTCTTCGCAACTGACATGCCAACTGAAGTACCTCCAAATGACAGTGCAGTTTTTCCTTTTGTTATGGGTGCCTCAACACTCTCCTTGCCCCAATGCCATTTTGGGGCAGATTTCAACAAACTGATCAACATTGAAACGTGTCTTGCTTGAAGAGTTTTAACACTAATCCAATAATTTCACGTGGGATTTACTCCTTGAGGAGGTTCAAAACGCCATAATACAACATGGACAATTTACCTCCATTTTGAAAATGGCATTTTGCGAGAAAATGGATTATTATTTTTGAATGTTACCCAGACGCACTGGATGCCACGGAAAATTTGATGACAAATAATATTCTGAAAGAGAATTCCCTTTTCAAATGGGATGTGAGAAAATACTTTCAAAAGGTTTTGATGTGACCTCTGGATGCCATGATGGAATACGAATTAGCAATAGAATATCATTTTGGTAAAAATGGACAGTTTCAGAACACAATTCTACAGATACCAACAATTGAAGATGTCCTTCGTAATGGATTTGGCAACAACATTACCATTGGAGCTTACTCGGCCTAATCACGCTTAGTATGGTCTAGGACGGTTCAAAGTCACAATTTGTAACTTTTGCTTTCTACACCAGCAAAATACTTGGTTTTAGTATGGGTATGGAATCAAACGTTAAACATCTATGATTGAATTCGCCTAAAAAAACTGCCTTGGCACACTATGCCTACAATATTTTCTGGCACACTATGCCTACAATATTTTCTGAAATTTCATGACAAAATTCACTTGCTTTAAGTATTGAAAATGTTCGGGGTATGAAGACTTTAGCCACCCACTGTACAATACATTGGAGAAGCGTGCGCCCGAGCGCAATACGTATTCTATTTACTAGTACAGTACAAATGTACGCTCCATGGCAAGTATCCAGGCCACCAAGTCGAGTTCGAACGGCCGTGGCAAGACTGGTGGTGGTCCCATCGACACCGGTTGTGAGTTGCCGTTATGTGCATTGGTCACGTGTTCACGGAGTGTGCGCAAGGGAATGTCGTGAGCACGAGACGCTGAGGCAATAGTGTGTTCTTGAGCTAACACTGCATGCACGGCCACACGCAACGTGTCCTTCGTGTATGATGTTCGTGGAATTCAAATCGAAAACCGCTTAAAGTTTATAAGTTTTGCCTCCATAATTTCTCACGAGGTCAATATAAGGGTTTTGTTTTGTCCAATACAATTCGAGAAACCATGTTATTGGATAAATTTTTTGGCGGATCACTGATCGGTCACGTTATCATGAATCAAATACCCGAAATGATCCCCCACTTCGTCAGGAAGTACATATTTCTGGATATATGATGATGTTTTGGAAATAAAGCTAACGTTATGTACATTCAGTTCAGTCGCGCAATGGATTGTACTGTGCAACTACTGCGGCATTGACTGTTTCTGTGATGCGATGCGAACAATCCTGGTCCTCTAATACTCTATAGATAGAAGTGATGATCTCGTTTTGCAACCTAATCAACAGTCATTTGACAATGGGAGATAACTGCTCATTATAAATGCAAGACAGTATTATTGTCGTCAACCTCGACTGGGCAATCAGAGGACCACAACGCAATGAACGCCATGTACCCGTAAAAGCACCCGCCGCAGGAAAAATTGACGAGAAGCAGCTTCGTGTCTTCGCCTGGCCCGGCGGTGAACTCAAAGTCGTCTGTCAACGCGATGGTGTCCATGGCGCGGCCGTCCACGGCCACGTGAATCGCCTTGCCTTGCATCTTGACTGCAATGTCGTGCCACGTGTTGTGTTCCAGCGTCAGTATCACACCCTTCTCCTTGACGTCGTGTGAGACACTGTGGCAGTTGAGGAGCACGACCAAGTTCCGTTGGATTGTGATCTGCACCACAAAGTAGCGGTGGGAGCTGCCCATATTCATGACATAACACGGCCCCATGGTCGCGACGCGTGTCGCAAACACAAAGTCGTAGTTGTTTAAGTGGAGCCCAAAGTTGCCCCCCGCACGGGTCATGGCCGACTGGTTGTACGCTTCGCCGTAGTAATCGCCGTCGAAATACGTTCCCAGCTCGGGGTGAATAAAGCTGCCTTGCGGGAGCAACATCGCAGTTCCTACAAAAATGAGAATCGTTAGACCAAAGCGAGCTGGGCGTTGAGCGCTTTCAACAACGACGTTGGTACCGTCGACACTGTCGACAACGTTGACCTTCATGTCGACGTAGTTGCACAGGCAGTTCAACCCATTTGTCCACTCAGCCAATTGGCTTAAGTGACGGACGTGGCTAGTTGGGTCGGACCCTTGGATCATCGGCTGCGGCCGGGTCAACGGCAATGTCGAATACAACTCGATTTTGCGCAAATGGCCGCTAAAGAGCTTGGTCATGGTGTCCCGTCGCAGGAGGTAAAACTCGTTGCCTTCTGTGGGCATGTCGCGAGTAGTAAACGTAAACGCGGGCGGCAGCGGAATCGTGTCCATCCGGTCCGTGTTGATGACAACCTAATGATTGCTCAGCAAGTCAACCAAACAAAGTGTTGTTGCACCTGAATCACCGAGTGGGGCACGTCCATGAGCACGGCAACATCCAGCCACGTGTCGATCGGCATCAGCCATGGATTGCCTACAATATGTATCAATCCCATCCATCTTCAGCCACGAATGATCGCGCATGCGACGAGTTACCGTTCAATTGCACCACGAACCCTTGTGCCTCTCGATTGCACTGGATGATGAGACACATGTCCGCGGTGATGTCGACTGCAAACCAAGGGTTGTAGCCTGCGCATAGCGGCGTGCTGTCGCCGCGGGCCACCTTGATCTTGAACGTCAGGAGGAACTCGTGCTTGTCGAGTCGACTGGCTAGGGCTTCGAGGCGGTAGAACTCCCAATTGTCCTTCATCATGTCGGCATAGTCGCCTGTTGTTACGAGCCCGCCCAACACGGAGACGCTGCAAGCAGGCGTGGGCCACGTCAGCTTGTGGGCGGATAAAATGTTGGCTCCGTTGGACTCAAGCGGATACTTGTACAACTGCACCCAGTTAGATGGTAGAATAGCCGCCTTGAGCTCTTCAAAACTTTTGTGGGGGGGCGTTGATACCAATGCAGGCGGACTTGGCTCGGTCGCTTTCAGGAGGTGAGAAGGAACTCCAGAGGCTTTGAACTCTGAGAGTTTATCAAACAGCAATCGCGCCTTTGGGGCCAACGTCACCCCTAATTCTTTGACTTCGTCGGCACTTTCCACGCCACACAACACTTCACCTGTGATTTCGTTCTCCACAAACACAGCACTACCATTACCAAACGAGCTCACACTCTGCACTATATACGATTGTACGTATAAGGCGACTGTACCTGTACTTGGAGCACGTCAAGTTGTTGAGCAACGTCCCCACTTGGTGCTGTGTTAGACTCGCCAACGGCACAGTGCTGATGGTAGCAGAGGCAGTCCGAGGGGTGGACGGTCCGCCAGTGGGGGGAGGCACTGCGTCGTGATGTGCAGATTGAAACCTCTGAGACAATGGGGTGCCAGCGACACTGACAATCTTGGTCACAAGTTCGTCGATTCGAGAAGCCAAGAGCGCATCGTTGCCGAACGCTGAGCTCAGGTCCAGGTACAAGTGCCCTCCCAAGACAAAGCCCACTTCCCCCGTCCAGTTGGCCGTGTTCTTCAAGGTAGGGCTCGGGTCAATGAGCACTGGAATCATCTTCGATGCTGTCTTGCGCCTTGCGGCGTAGTTGAACTCAAGCTGACAGTTGTCTTCAGCGTTGTTGCCCCCCACTTTGTCAATGTATCGCTGGGTCACAAACACCACGATCGCGCGGGCGTTGTCGATGCCGTGGATCATTTGTTTCTTCACATTGCCCTCCATTTTTTCTTCGTCAAACCACGTCGTGATACCCCTGGCTTTGAGGAGGGTGTTGATGACACTGACGTTCTTGTGCGTCGTGCCGTCGGTGCCCCAGTCATGGGTGAGAAACGCGTCGGTCAGCGCTGAGAAGGCAGTGGTGAGTTTGTCTCGAGTGACGACACCATCGACCGCCTGTTTGGCCCACTCGGCGTCATTAAATAGGTCCCCGTACAAACTTTGACATTGCTCTTTCGTCACCACGTCCACACTGGCACCCGCGCCCATAGCTCACCAACCACAACGACGTTTCGATCGAGATCGGTTTCACGGCGGTTTCGTTACTTTTGCTGAGCGAAGGGGCAACTGCATTGTGTTTTATCCTTTTAATATGAGCGTGCCTTTAAAAACTAACCCTGACGATAGCCCATTTCTGTACCATTTTGGAGTTTTATTACAGCAAGGGGTGGGGAAATGCTAGCGACACACTGACGTAAGCATAGTCAATCCTGGCCAGCTCAGTAGTGTAACCAACGGTTGAGTAATGTTGTAGGCTCGAGCACAGCAACAACAAGTGTAACGTTTGCAAGTACTTCCAAGTACTAGTGTAGTGTTTGCACACCATAAGAAGTGAATTCCCACTCACAGTCAATCCATTGTCGCTTATTGCATGGAAACGTATGCACGTGAATGACCTGCACTCACGGTTTTTAACCTAACTTTTGGGATAAATAAGACTCATTTATACTGAATTATCCACAGCGCATCGTCGGAACAAGTTAATTTGAGTGGGATTATCCAACTTGTCGACTGCAAATTCCATCTCGACAGGTACCTCCTCTATTATCGCTCACTTGTGAACGATCTCCAACAGTGGCATGCCGTTGCCGACCACGACTGCCCCACCCACCAACCCACACGTGTACCTCCAGAACTTGGTCGAATTGACCGACGATGAGTACACGCCGCCGCCACCTCCTGCGTTTGACGAAGACCTGCGCACATTCCGTCGCCCTGAAGCCCTCGAGTACGGTCGCCAGATCAAATCCACGCTCTTCACTCTCGACCCCGCCGTGAACTTTCTTAACCACGGAAGCTACGGCTCGTGCTCCAAGCCGGTTATGGCCGTGCGGGAAGCATACTTGCGTCGGCAAGAGTTTGAGCCGATCAAGTTCATGGAAGACTTGGGGCCTCGGTTAGCGCGAGTTACGCGCATCGTGGCCAAATACGTGCACGCAGAGCCCCGTCAAATCGCCCTCGTACCGAATGCGTCGGCGGGCACCACGAGTGTCCTTCGGTCGTTTCCGTTTCCCAAGGACAGCGTCATCGTGTCGTTCAACCTTGAATACGTGCCCGTGACGTACCAGATGGCGCTCACGGGGCTCAAGCAGCATGTCATCGACCTGTCTCCGCCGTTCTCGGCCGCGGGGGTCCTCAAGGCCTTCCGAGAGGCACTGGACAACACGGACACGATTGGCATGGTTGTGGTCGATCACATTACGAGTACCAGTGGTCTCGTCTTGCCTGTCAAGGTGCGTGCGTTGCTTCCTCCAATGACGTGGCAAACACATTACATATCCGTTGTTGGCCACCTGATACATATAGCACCCCATAGGACATCATTCACATGTGCAAAACCCGCGGCATCCCCGTGCTCGTGGACGGCGCCCACGCGATCGGTCAAATTCCGCTCAACCTAACCGACCTGCAGCCAGACTTTTACGTATCCAACTTCCACAAGTGGATGCTCTCGCCCAAGTCGGCGGCGTTCCTGTACATCCGCGAGCCATCCAAGTACACGATTCGACCCACAGTGATCAGCCACGGCTTTGGACACGGCACATTTGCCGAGTTCAATCTCATCGGTACGAATGATTGTCGTTGTATTCGTATTTGGTGTCGACACCTGTCGGTCACACGTTGAAGCGGTCGTGCGTTCGTTTGTTGCGTTTGAGTTTGCACATTCGAACAACCGACTGAGCATCGTTATTGCATTTGGGGATTGATTGTACTACAGGCACGATGGACTACTCGGCGTCGCTGGCGGTCCCGGCGTCGCTGGCATTCCACGACGCGATGGGCGGCACTGCCTTGATGGCGCGCAACCATGACGTGTGCGTGACGGCGGCGTTGAAACTGGCTGAGACGTGGCAGACGACCCTCTTGACGGACGAGGTGGACACGATGATCGGCAGCATCTGCGTCGTGGAGCTGCCGCCGGCACTCTTTGTCGGCCACTCGGACGACGTGGACGTCGCCTTAGAGACGCTCCGTCTCGTGCTTCGAACGCACTACCGCATCGAAGCCAAGACGGCGCACGTGGGCGGCATCCCCGGCCTGCGCATCTCGACGCAAATGTACAACGAGGCCGCCGATTACGACGACTTGGGCGCGGCGGTACTGGATATTCTCACGCGCGACGCCGCCGACTTGACCGTGTAGACCACCAGAACGATGTCGCATGGTCGTAATAATGAAGTGAACGGAGTTTGGTTTCGATAACTCTGTTGAGTATTGGATTGGTTTATAATTAGTATGTAAAGATAAATTTGGTGACCTAAATCAATAGTCATAGTATATGAATATATTCTATTGTGCTTTCCAGTGGTTATTTGGGAAGGGGGAGCAATCAAATCGCGTCGACCAAACCGATCCACAATCGATCTGATTGGTTAAATTTCATTGAAAAGGTTTTGATTGGCTAATAATTTTGAGCTCATCTGAGGTAGCCAATCAAATCGATTTAAATTCCAACGAGAAATTGTATCAAATCGACAATACTTCGAAGTAGTTACCTGGTACAATTCTTTCCTGGGCTAATCAGACCACCAGGTAAACAAATAGGCTTAGGGATAAATATTGGGTTAACTGGTGCTGATGTTCTTTATAAAAGTATACTAGTAGTATTTAAATATATTGTATATACTACGTATTAAATATAACAAAAAATATATTTGAATCTTACAAAATCATATTAAAACATGGATATTTATTAATATTTTTTTTCCCGAGACTTCATGGACCTTCGAGCCAAGCATCAGTCAGATGCGTTGGATATACTACTACATTGCGGGTATAGCAACCACATACAGCCTATGTACTACTACGTAGAATGCTTAGATATATAATTGAGTACTACTATTAGTATGTTGTGCAGGTTGGGTTTCGTACTCTGTCATTTGTGGGGGTTGTACCTCCGCACACGAGCGTATGATATGTCCACATACAAATGTTCGTATTGCTTCGATTCGAGGCTTTCATGGCTCGGTGTGTTTTGTTGTTGATAAGTACTACTTCAAGTATGTACCTAATTTGTACCTAATTTGAGTTTGCCCTTCCTGTAGTCAGTCCTTCAGTCCACAATCCCCTCTTGCCCAGTTTGCCCATCGCGTCGCCAATGGAACCTCGGCGTGGACGCGTCCTCATCACTGGCCACGTCTGGCATCTCTGCAACATCGTCACTGTCACTGACCAGTCCTGGCATGTCGTCATCATTGTCATCATATGCAGGCGGCTCCATGGGCCCAGAGTAAGCGAACCCGCTGATTCCACCCTCGGGCACGTGGAGCCTTCGAATATGCGCCAGCAGTTGTCTTGGGTCGTCACCAGTATTGGCTTGATCGTCACTGTCGTCGTAGTCGCCGCTGTCTTCGGAATCGTAATAAAAGTCCTCCGAGAACCAGTCGTCACAGTCACCATCGTCACTGTCGTCGTCGTCATAACCCCCACCAGCGTCACTGCGACCGTCCCAGTTACTTTGCCGACGCATCCACGCTACAGCAGCCTGCACTTCGAAACACGATACCGCTTCGTCTACAATACCCCATCAATACCGAACACTATATACGGCAAAATGTCTCAGATATGAATACTATTAATAGTAGAAGTATTCATTTTCTCCAGCGTGTACTGGATTCGATAATTGAAATATACCGTAAACGTTGTACTGAAATCGCTCGTGGCCAAAGTTCACTTGCAGCGGCACCGTTACATTCATTCCCACCGTCGGAAACAACGGCACGGCGCGGCAGCACCCAAAGTCCCCTACCAGAAATCCAATATATATATTTTTATTTATATTCTATTAAACAATCGGTGAACAGTATGCATCGTCAAACAAATATATTGTCACGTGTTTATATTCTAAACTGGAGCGACATACATGTAGAACAATGAATCGACACAACCAAAAATATACTGTACACAAGAATCATCGGCAGAAAGATTGAGTCAATCAGATTGCACGAAATCACCATCCAAAACGTCAAATTAGTGTGTGACTTCAATTAGTGTGATACCAATCCCACATAGAATCGATCGATAGATTTGACAATTCCGCACAAAAGTAGTCCAATTTTTTTGGGTAAAAGGGCAATAACAAACGCACCTACGCGACGGCCGTTCTTGGTAAAGAAGATCCACGCTTGGTTGTTGTCCGCGTATTGCAAGCCGCACCCGACAGTGTCCCCATACCCAAATGTTTCCAAGTCTACGACCTACATATCACCGTTGGGATGGATATTCATGATGGAAGAGTTCTAGTGTTGTTACGTCGGGTTCGTTCATATACACGCCTTCTTCGCCATGGTACCCGTATGAGAAGGACTCCCATCCTATAGTTATTCCACGGCTTATGAGGCGGCATCCAATGCTATTGATGCATGGCATATATACACAGTGTACAGTTGTAGAGGGTATTGTTGTGCTTATTCTAAACTCGAGAGACATGGAGAATAATAATACATCAACACGACCTAAAATACATGTACACAAGAAACATCATCGACTGAGATTGCACGACAACAGAGATTACAGCTAAATAGTGTTAAACTTCAAATAGTGTGGTACGCATCATCACCGCGTTGGACGCTGTATTCAGTGTGCAAACTCAGCGCCCTCAAGTTCAATTAGCATTTTGGGGCAAACAGACGGGCAATACCAGCGTGGTTTTCCAGCACGACACTGCGCGGGGGCGCGAGTCCGATGGAAATGATATCCCAACTGTCCTCGTGTCGCGGTTGTGCCGGCGGGCTAGTACACATGAAGGCCAAGTCGTTGGATTGGTTCTGTCATGTCAAAGGTATTGGTCGTTTCGATGCTCATCACGTACGCGGGAGGGGTGGACGAGATGGTCATTTCGAAGTACACGGTCGACGACACGTCCACACGCCACGTCATTTCGTTGTGCTTGTGCACCGTCACGACTGGTTCCAAGTGGTACGGCGCGTTAGCGCGGACACTGCGGCCGTACGACACGTCGAAGCGCTCGTCGCACGGGGCCAGCTGGAAGTGCGACAACAAGAACGACGACGGATGCGGCAGGGGTTGCAACCTGGCGGTCGCCGTGTAAGAGGGCCGAGAAGGCGCGTGAACAAAACGTACATGTAATGCATGGGATCGTCGTGCTGATACGCCTTATGGTAGTCCATGTTCATGTGCGTGGGCACTGGACGCAAGGCGTGACAGAGGAATCGATACGCGTCGCTGGCGCTGCGTGGACACTTGTAAGTACACAAAGTGATGATGTGCATCACATCATGGTGTAGTTACCACGGGTATTGACGCTCAAGGTGAGGCGACAGTTCCAGTACGTCCGTGGGGGCAATCTCAAAGTTCGCTCTGCGCCACTTGGCCACAAACACACGTTTCCAGACCTCGTCGTGCTTCTTGAGCAGGCTGTGGAAGGTGCGAGATACAACCGCGAGCAATCGTAGCTCGCGTGGTGGCATGAACGCGAGGAGCTGAAGCAGAACCTCCGTCGGCAACGCTTCCATCACGATGGCCATCGCTGGGTTATCAGTTGGTGTGCTTTGTGTGGAAATCTTGACATTAGGATTCCGGATACTACTAATAATCGTTTCGGTTAACTGTAAAACGTGATGTGTCTGCACAAAGTTAACTTACAGTTATTGTGCTTTTCACATATTTTGGCTAATCTGGGTATAAATACCCGCTTTTAACCAGTCGGTGACGAAGTTTTAGATTAATTCAACTTAGTTTTAGCTAATCGGAAGTACCTTTGATTGGATGAGCAAGAGCTGTTCCTGCAGCATATGTTGCTAACCTGAAGCGTTTCCCATTTCATTTCGGCAAACGCGGGGGTTTACAGAGTGGATTACCTAATACACGCGAGTGTGATTCTTGACTATGCTCGATAAAGGTTGATGTTGAGTGCTTCTTGCTCGACTTTTCGTGCCAACGAGTTGCTAACAAGCTGGCTGCAAAGCTCGTGTGAGCTGGTGCACTGCGAGCTTACCCCAGTAGGTCATTACTCTGCAT